ACCTGTCAGGGACAGTGAGACCTGCTTTCTACCTGTTAGGGCACTTCTATTTCAATAGAATGTTGTAGACAGGAAGCTGGAGATAAGGAGAGGGTGGAGAAACCTCTGCAAAAAATTCTAGTGGATTTGGAATGGGAAGACCCAAGCCTTAACCCCCTTATCATGGCAGGTGTTTGCTCCCTTGGGGCTTAGGGGACAGTTTAGTGCTTCCTGCAGGCTTTTACAGGGGTGCTAAAGAGCAACAGGAAGACATTGGTGGGCATAAATAGGATGAAGTTAATTATCAATATTGGCTTGAGTGAGAAAAGACATCATCAAGGAAATGGATGACCATAAATAGAAGTGGGCTGGTCATACAGTGAGAGTGAAGGCTAATAGGTGAATGACCCAAATGTGATACTGGTGCCCACAGAGTATTAAGAGAACTGGAGGAAAGTGTTTTGACCAAACCCCAGCATGTTGGTTAGACCTTCAATGTGTAGGAAAGCTTAGGCATAGATTTCACAGGAGAAAAAATAGATATTTTATGATCCTCATGGGTGGAAGAAATGCTTCCTCTAATGAGGCCAATTCAAGTACTGAGTTAATGTATCCTAAGTTGTAAAAGGCAATGGGGCAGGATCTTGGAATCCTGTTGCCTTCCTAAGATCCCAGGTCTGGAGACGTGTGATGATTCAGGATCTCACATTTAGAGTTAGAACGGACCTCAGAAATAATTTCATCTAATCTCTCCCCATTTTACAGATGAGGAAACTGAGGCCCAGAGAAGTGAAATGACTTACCCATGATCACAAGGTAGAAAGTGGCAAAGCTGGAATTTGAACCCAGGTCCTCTGACTCTAGCTACAATATACTTTCTGCTGAACTATGCTGCCTTGGCAATTTAACACAGTGAATTAATAAATGTTCAAGGATGCCTGGGAATAGAAAATATTAAGAAGCACTAATTTGTTGTTGTCCAGTTGTGTCTGACTCTTCATAATCCCATTTGGGGTTTTCTTGGCAAAGAAGGAGTTTTCCATTTCCTTCTCTGGCTCATTTTACAGATGAGGAAACTGAGGCTTAACTGAGAGTTAAGTGACTTACCCAGGGTCATACAGCTAGTAAGTGCCTAAGGTCAAATTTGAACTCAGGAAGATGAATCTTTCCTGACTCCAGGCTGGGCACTCTATTCACTTTGACACCTGCCTGGATTAGAGAACTGATAAAAATGTCAAGGAGCCCAAACTGAGGCTTGGGATCGACCTTGGCTTAAAAAGGTCAAGGTCTCCCACTATATCCAGGACCATCTCCAGTTGTCCTGATCTATATCTTGCCACTGGACTCAGATGGCTCCTGAGGAGAAAGTGAGGCTGGTGACTTTGCACAGCCCTCCCTCACTTAGATCCAATTCGCTTGCATGTCATGGCATCACCTCCCTGGTATCATGGTTCTCTTTGAGAACAAAGGACAAACAACTTCTGTGAGTAGTAGTAGGAGCTGCTCCACTGAGGATCCAACTGGAACTAGCCAGTTGGGCAACACAGCTCCTTCCTTCATGTAGAGAGAGGAAAAAACAAGAAAGTAGCAACCCCTGAAATCAGATACACAGTTCTTACTCATTGGCTCAGAGGAAAAAATCTTTGGAAACATGCTCTCTATAAGAAGAGAGATAAAACATTATGGACATAGGGAAAAAAAACCCAAACTTTTCCTAGTAACAATCTCATTTTAGATGTCTGATAAGGGATTACAAAATACCTACCCTTGGCAAAACAGTGAAGGGAGAAAAAGATTTTAACACATAGTGAATTTGAGAATAGGGAAATTATAGGAAAACAAGTGAGAACTGAAACTAGCCAGCAAGTAAAGGATTGGAAGGTTGGGTTAGTACTAAGAAACAGTTTATTAATCATTACCATGGACATGGCCAGGCTGAATTATTCTTTTGAATGCATATACCCAACTTTTCTGCAGTGAATGGCCTGCCCTGATTCTCCTGACCAGGGAGTTACAGGATCCTCTTGATCCAGCTAGGCAAATGCCAATCAAAATCACGATAGCTGTCATTTCCATTGTATTTTTAAATTTATAGTGTACCTCATGTGCATTAATTAGTTTATTCCCAACATAGACTGGGAAGCAACTTCTCTTGGAACATTTCAGGCTATGGTCATCTGTAGGGACTACTTCTTGGTAAGGACTTTTCCCTAGCTCCTTTCCTGTGGATGTCCTGGCCCTTGAGGATAGTTGATCATGCACTCCCACTATCACTGCCTAAAAGAATCAGGGTCATCTGACTCATAATTGTAGGACTAGAAGATACAGTGCAATGGTGTCAAACTCAAATAGAAACCTGGCTGCTAATCTATACAATAAGCATCCCGGTGGGTCCACCGATGACTTAGTTCTAAAACGTATTGTTATGTATGTTTTATTGTATTTTTACTTATTTTGTTAAGTATTTCCCAATTAAGTGTTAATCTGATTCTGGCTGAAGGGCTTGTCTTTGACACCTCTGATTTAGTACAATTCCTTCATTTTAAAGATGAGGACACAGAAGCCCAGAGAAGTGAGGTGATTTACCCAAGGTGTGACTTTGGGATTTGACCCCAAACATCCTCTGACTCCCTAGTCAGCACACTTTCCACTGAACCATGACACCTCTGAGAAACTACACCATGATGCCTGGAAGACCTCTTTTTCCTTAAGGGTCCTCCTAGAAAGGACGTTATCCCTGTAGGGTTCTGCTCTGGTCTGGGTGGCTCCAAAATTAACCCTTTACCATAATTACATAACAGAAAACTAGTATGGTCCAATGGTTCGAAGTCAGAAAACCTGGATTCTAGTTCCAGGGTGAGTCCGTTCACTATTTCAAGTCAGAGGAAGGGGAAATTTTCATATCCGCCAACGAATAATTAGTAAGGCACCACCTCTCAGTGAATGTTTACCCAACTGTTGGAACAGGTATCATTATCTCCTCCTATCTATTCATAGGGTGGTTGGGAAGCTGAGCAGAAGGTGGGAAAGTATTTTTAAAAAAATTAAATATGTTGATTTACACGTCACTTCAGTCTTCTTTCAACACTTCAAAAGATCTGTACTTTTATCAGCACAGGACCTTTTGTTTTTTTTTTTATGTTGATGCTGATTCTAAACCTCCAAGCCTTCCATGAAGGGATGAGGCAAAAAGGAAAAAAAAAAAAACAAAACCAAAGGAAAACCCACACAGATTTCCTTAGTCACTTGGCAGCCAAGCTTCTGGCAGTGAATGAGCCTTTCCTAACTTGGGTAGGCTGTTCCTCTAGGGATAGACTCCAGCCAGTCCTCGCCTCTGCAGCTTGATAGGACTTGCTGGAGCCTGTGCTTCTCTGGCAGAACCTTAGTGCCAGGGTCGGGCATCAGGGTAAGAATGTAGTGGAGGCTCCTTTGCAGAAATGGGAGTCCACGGATGTGGAACATTGAATATATTGTCATTTTTTCCCCATGTATTGTTCAGTTTTGCTGATTTCCTTCCCCCACACCCCCTTACCTCTTTTTCTTTAAAAAAAAATCTTTGTTTTATGAATTGACTTTTTGGGAGGAGGGAAGGATACAGGGGAAATTTAGGCTATGTAAAAACAAAATAGATTGATAATTTTCAAAAAGAATGTAATAGAGGATACAAATTAAGGTAGTATAGTATTAAGGTAGATTCACCTATCCCAAATGCCTCCTGTGATTAGGGCATCTTTAGTACTGAAAAGCTGATGGCAGAACCAGCTGAGAAATTGCTCTGTCCTTAAGTGAATTACTCTAGACTGATGAAACCATGCATAAATCCGCATCTCAAGTCAGAGAAGCAGGCTTCTTCATGTATGCAGCCTGGGGTGTTCTCACCCTGCTCTGTAATCCCTGCCCTGCTGCTGCTTACCATGATGATTTTCACCAAAGTTCTCGTGGAAGAACAATGCATGGCCAGGTGTAGCTGAGGTCTGGGACAGCTGGGTGCTGAGCTCCCCGTCACCAGTCCAGGCTTAGCCGAGAACCTATCCCTGCCTTTTGTTTGTTGTTACTAAGGTACCAGGGTGGGGTAGGGGTGAGGGAGGCATAAAGGCCCAAGGATAGACTAGGAAACAAACTTGGGGCTTCTCTCCCTTGTTCTGAAACACAGAATGGTTAGAGATTGTGAATAAAAATCTGAGTGGGAACCGATGCTTTGGTCATCAGTAATAAGCTGTGACCTTGGGCAAGTTATTGTGCCTCAATTTACCTTTCTGAGAACCGACAGTGCAAACCAGTACCAGAACAAACCAGGAAACTGGTGCAAAACCGGAGTGGAGCCAAACTGAGAATTTATGCAGGTTGTCCCGGTTTGTCTCCAAAAGGTCTGATGGGTATGGGGAGAAAAGTGTAGGGTTGGAAAGGCTTGCTCTGGGATTGAGCATTCAATGAAGAAAATACAAATTAAATGTAAAATCCTATCAAATAAGCACTTAAAATTTTTGAATCAACTGTTCACATGCTTTTCATCTCAAGGGTACGTATACATACATGTGTGTATGTGTATGTGGGTGTGTGTATCAGGGGTTTCAAAGGGGAACAAGAAAGTCTATGGTGGCTGGAGGACTTACTTACAGGGACTGGCTGTCTGAGTCTAGCTTGGTGGGATGGGTGGTCTTCCTGGAGGCTAGAGCAGCCACATGACTAATGTCTCACAGCTCTAGCTGGTAATAATAATAATGATGATAATAATAATAATAATAACAACGATAATAATAATAGCAGCTAGCATTTATATATCACCTGGTATATGCTGGGCAGTATGCTTAGCACTTTACAGATATTATCTCATTTGATTCTCACAACTATGGGAGGCAGATGCTGTTATTATCCCCATTTTACATTTGAGGAAACTGAGGTTAAGTGACTTGTCCAGAGTCACACAGCTAGTAAGTGTCTGAGGCCAGATTTGAACTCAGGTATTCCCGACTCCAGGCCCACTATCCTATCTACTGCAATGAGTGAAGCCCAGCCTGGTCCTATTTTAGCACGCTCAGCAGCATCCTTTCCTCTCCTTTGTGGTCAGACATGTTCCCAGAGTATATTCCTGTTAAATAATAAATGATGGGACATTGTTTCCAGAGGTTGTGTTCAAATTCTCGTGTATTGCCTGAGGCGCTGAACAGGGACTCCAATTTCCTCCCATTAGCACATCAGGTTAGTTAGTTGACAATTTGGGCATAGAAAAAGATAGGGACTGGTAGGCTTCAGCTAAGAGGGAGGGAAGGCAATTAGCGAAAGGGAGAATGATTATACCTCCTTAGGAAGCCAGCACCTGGGGATACGTCCACCTCTTAGTGGGTGAAAGCTTACTAAGGCCATTAGGGGAGAGGTGGGGCCCCAAAGTGTTGTGTAATGGAGAAAGCTCAGTGTGGAGTCAGGAGGACTGCCACTTCCTAGTGAAATGACTTTAGCAAGTCTCTTGGCCTCAGTTTCCTCATTTGTAAAATGAGGATCGTAGTATTATCTACCCCACATCAATCAGATCATGTAAATAAAGAGCTTTATTACCATAAAATTATGCAGCCATGTAAACGACATCAAATAGATAGATACAAACATACACTGGTTTTCAGTTCTGCATGACCTGTGTCTACAGCGATGGTGGAGGAAAATGGGGCAGAGGTAGTGATTATTATTATTATAAAATACAAACCACATCCTTCATAATTTTGTCGAGGGCTGGCCCTGGCAATTATCTTATACTGGGCAGAATTTTTGTAATTGGTACCCTATCCCAACCCTCCCATTTCTTTCCCGTCTCATTTCCTTCCTTCTTCCCCAATTCCTTCCCCACCCTCATGTGATGATTCTGAAACAGGTGGAGAAATGGAACCGCCGTGACCAGAAACTCCTAGAAGCAGTGCAGCGGGGAGACGTTAGTCGGGTGACTGCTCTAGCCTCCAGGAAGACTGCCCGTCCCACCAAGCTAGACTCCCACGGCCAGTCCCCGTAAGTAAGTTCTCTGGCCACTGCAAGCTTTCTTGTTCCCCTTTGAAGCCCTTGATACACACACACACACACACACACACACACACACACACACACACACGCACGCACGCACGTGTATGTATACACTATGCACATATATGCGTGTGTGTATGTGTGCATATATATACATGCACATATATATACACATATAGATCTCTATCTATTTACATATCTATCTGTTTACAGTGCTATATGTACAAAGTAAGTTCAATAAATATGGCTCCTGCCCATGAGGAGCATTACTCTAAGAGACTGGAAGCTGACAGATTAACACATGAAGGGCATAAGGACAACTATGAAAATACTGAAACAAGACACCAGTTAAATAGAATGTAGTGTTTGTTCATTGTGAAAACCGAAGGGTGAATGGATTTGAAGAGTGAAGTGAGAATCCTAGGATGTACAAGTTCAGATGAAATGAAATTGGAGGCAGCGGGCTAGGTCAGGATTACCCTCTTCTCTCCATCATAGCTTTGCATGCCTGACTTGCTCACTCTTTTCTGGATGCTTGTCCATCTTCAAGCGCACCTGTGGGTCTCTGGATTTCTTCTGTGCTTGATTAAGAAGGAAGCAATGAGTTCAGTTTCCTTTTCATTCCCTGGGTAGTTTGAGGGTGCCCAGGGACAGGAATTCTGGCTTCTCTTTCTGTCTGTATCACCTTCTTCTATGTGACTTCTTGGCAGATTGCCATCCCTTTCTGGGACAATCAGCTTAGACCCGGAACACTCTAAGTGGCAGGTTTGGGGGTGTGGTATTAGGGGATGGTGGTTAATCGAGAATGGCCCACTTCTTGGCTCCCTTCTCCCTGCCTCATCTTTCTCTTATTCTGCCTGGTCAGGTTCCACCTAGCAGCATCCAAGGGGTTGACGGAGTGCCTGACTGTGCTACTGGATAATGGGGCCGAAATCAACAGCAAGAATGAGGATGGTGAGTACAGATTGATTTTTCAGCTTGCCCTCTCCTTGACGGAAGACAGAATGGGGAGTCTGTGGGACCCATGTAGGATGAAGAACAAGGGTTTCTGACCATGGGCCCCATGATTGTTTGTTTCTCCAGCATGCCTTAGCCAGCATCCCTACAGGGGCTCTCCCCATAAATTTGGGTGTGTCTTACCCTCACCCCACAGCAAGGACCCAGTCACTGGGGGAACAGGAATTTCTGGCCCTGTGTCACTGTAAGCTGTTCTGTCTAATCTCCCTCTGATTATCTGTGCGTCTTTGCTCTCCCTCCCTATGAGTCACCAGAGCTGTGTGGGTCCCCCTCCCCATCTCTCTTCCCAGGAAGCACCGCCCTGCACTTGGCTACTATTTCCTGCCAGCCGCAGTGTGTCAAGGTCCTACTGCAGGTAGGAGAAAACCCCATCATGCTACTCCTATTGGGGTAGAAAGTGTAGGTTTGCATGTGGGATATTGGGGATATAGAGTATGCTCTAACCTTGCCTGGTAGGACTACCCTGCAAGATTCACAACTACCTCCTTATAATCCCGTCATCCGGGAGCAGTCTTCATCAAACAGAGCAGGTTAGTTCCTGTGATGCTAGGTAGAGTTTCATGGAGGTAGTAGGTCACTATAAACAAACAAGCACTCATTGAATACCTATTAAGTTATCATAGTAGATTGTACTGTAAGAAATGATGAGCAGGCAGACTTCAGAAAAATCTGGAAATACTTTTATGGACTGATGCTGAGTGAAGTGAGCAGAAAACCACGAAAACATTGTATACAGTAACTGCCACATTGTGCCACGACTAACTTTGATAGATTTAGCTCTTCTCAGCAATGCAAGGATCTAAGACATCTCCAAAAGACTCATGATGGAAAATGCTATTCACATCCAGAGGAAGAACTATGGAGTCTGAATGCAGCTCGAAGCATACTATTTGCTCTTTTTTTCCTTCTGTTTTGTTTCTTCTTTCTTGTGGTTCCTGCTACTGGCTCTAATTCTTCTTTACAACATGACTAATGTGAAAATATGTTTAATAGGAATGTATATGTAGAGCCTATATCAGATTGCATGCCATCTTGGGGGGGAGGAGAGGAGGGAGGGGGAGAAAATTTAAAACTCAAAAGTTTATGGAAGTAAATTTTGAGAACTAAAAATAAATAAATTTAAAAAAATAAATTTTTAAAAAATTATCACAGGAGGCAGCTGGAGTGGAGGGTATATATTATAGAAGTAGAATTTAGTATAGTATGGCAGCTCTCTTATGGGAGCTTACGTTCAGTAGAGGAACATAAAATGTAAAACAAATGACTACAAAACACTATGTACATTAGGTGGTACAAAACAAAATGCTGTGTGGTATCATGAGAAGAAAAACTCGATATTAATTGAGGTATTTGGGAAAGCTTCAGAGTGGAGATGGCATCTGAGGGGGACTCCAAGGAATAGGTAGGAATTCAATAAATTAAAAGGAGGGATAGGAGACATTTCAGGCATAGGAAATTGTGATCAAAGACATGAGGGAAGGGAAGTAGAGGGTGTGATCAAATTATTCAGTCTAGCTGGAGCACAGGGAAGGAAGTAGCATGAGGCAAGACTGGAAAGGTGAGGTTGTGCTGGGTTGTGGAGGGCTTTAAATGCCAGGCACAAAGAGCATGAACTTTGTCAGGTAGACAGTAGGGAGCTACTGAAGCTTCTTGAGTAGAAAAGGGGCAGGACCAGCTCTATACATAAGGAAGAATAATCTGGCAATCATATGTATAGTGGGAGGAAAGAGTGGGGGCAGGGAAATCTGTTAGGAGGCTTTTGTAATAGCCTATGTGGATGGTGAGGGCCTGGACCAGGCTGAGGGCTGTGGGAATGGAGAGGATGGAAAGATGGAAGGGATATTATAGAGATAGAATTGGCAGGCTACTGATAGCTGATTGACATCCAGTTAAAGTTATAAAAGAAAGGGAAGAGTCAAAGATAACACCAAGATTTTGAACATGGGAAAGAGATGTGAGTAGTGGTCACAGGGTCATAGAGAAGGGAGCTCGAAGGCCGTTCAAATGGCCGATCAGAGAGGTTCAACCCTCTCATTTTACAGATAGGGGATAATACCCATGGAGGGGAAGTTACTTGCCCAAAGTCATGAAGGTGGTAATTGTCTGAAGCGGGATTTTAATCCAGAATCTATGATTCCACGGTCAGTGTTCTTTCCATTGTGCTGCCAATTGTGTAAGCTAACAAGCCATATCTTGATGCTCCCTCCTTGCATTACTCAGTTAGTAGCATTCTCTCTCTCTTGAACTTACTTTTTATATACATTGTACGTGCTTTTGTGTATGTTGTATTCCCCCAATGGAATATAAGCTCCTTGAGGACAAGTATGATTTCATTGTATTACCAGCAACTAGCATAGTGTTTTGAAAAAAAAAAAAAAATCAGGCACTTAAAAGTGTTTGTTGACTTGAATAAACTCAGTTTTGGAAAAACTGAGTTTGAAGTGATAGTGGGGCATCCTGTTGAAGCCTACAGGCAATGAGAGATTGAGGACTGGAGCTCAGAAGAAAGGTCAGGACTGGAGATATACAGAGGGGAGTCATTTTTATAGAAATAATAATAGATAAAGCCATGGGAATTAGTGAACTTGCCAAAGGAGAGGGTATGGAAAGAGAAGAGAACCAAGGTCAGAAAGTTGAGAGGTACTCTAAGGAGTGGGGAAGAGAAGAAATTGGAGACAGACAATGGTTAAGTTAGGGAAAGAGGAAGAGAGCCAGGAGAGAGTGCTATCCCTGAAGCCAAGAGAGAGGAGTATGGATGAGGAAAGTAGTAGTTCCCAATGGCAAGTGCTGGAGAGGGGTCAAAGATGATGAGGACTGATTGAAAAATGGTAATGATGTTTGGTGATTCGGAGTTTATTGGTAGTCTTTGAAAAGGCATGGTTTTTACTCATAGCGAGCTAACAACCTAGCTGGGGAGTTGGAACATGAAAGAGCATTAGAACAATTTATAAAACAACCCCAGAAGGGTATAGACCACTGGGAAAATTTTGATCTTGTCCCTTTCTTCAAAGCCCTTTTCCAGTGTCCCAGTCATGGCTATGGACCTTGTAGTACTAATGTTAGACACAATTGCTATTTTTACTAAAAGTTTTATTTGTCATACAACCTAATCTCTCTCTGAACTGTACTGGGCTGACCTTCCCCAGCTGGTTCCTCGGAATTTTATTCCCTCTACTCATACATCCATGCTTTGCCCGATGAGATTATACTATGACTTGGATGAGTATAGTGGTTGGTGGTGGTGATGGTTGGGAGGGCTGTCTGTAGGGCTCATGCCAATTCTATATTGATTCTTCCTAGCATGGTGCCAATGAAGATGCAGTGGATGGAGAAAACCGAAGCCCCCTGCACTGGGCTGGTGAGTGTTGGGGATCCTGAGGTATAGGAGTGTGTGTGTGTGTGTGTGTGTGTGTATGGAGGGGTGTGAGAATTACTGGTGTTGGGATAGAAGGAGAGGGTCCTTAGAGGACTTTGGGTTGAGCAGGGATGTTTGCCTTTACACCAAGAGGTTCTCCTCTTGACACTGACTCTCCTTCAATCCCACGTAAACTAGCCTCATCCGGCTGTGCCTCCAGCGTACTGCTGCTGTGTGATCATGAAGCTTTTCTGGATGTCCTTGATAATGTGAGTGTCACCCCTGGAGCCAGGGCAATGCCTTCAAGAGAGGTGCTGCTGTCTCTGAGCACAATTAGTTTGGGGAATAAGTAGGCCAAATTCAGTGTCTTGGATCTGTTTATCTCTCTCTAGAGGGGTTAAGGCTCCATGTTCCCCAGGTAATTCAGGGGGGAAAGCTATCAGTCTGTATTTGCAATGAGGGAGTAGCAGGTGTCAAGTTCCCAAGTCTGCCCCCCTCCAGTTGTTTGCAGAGGGGATGTTGTCAGGAGGAGGGAGGCGGATGTACCAGGTCTCTTGTATCTCCTGGCTCCCTCAGCTGTGCCCCTTCCCCACCCATACAGGACGGACGGACGCCCCTGATGATCGCATCACTGGGTGGACATGCAGCCATCTGTTCACAGCTCTTGCAAAGAGGCGCCCGGGTTAACGTCACTGACAAGGAAGACAAGTGAGCTCTCCCTATTTTCTCCAATCCAGACTCTAGGCCCCTTTGAGTCTGGTCTATCTTGTCTCTCGTACAGACAGAAGTAATGATGGGGAATGGGTGGGTGTATGTACGCATGCATGTATGTATGTGAAATAATTTCTTCCTCAGTTGCATGGCTGAGATGTGTTTACCCCTTTTCCCTGGTCTCTGTATTATTCTCTTCACCTGCTGATTCTCATACTATGCTCTATGGACGACTATCTCCAGGCCTATTGGCCAAGTCCAAAGACTTTGCCACAAGGCTGGTATGGACCCTGCCCTCCAAATCAGTCAGTCAATAAGCATTTATTAAACACCTATTATGTGTCAGGCAGGTGACACAGTGGATAGAGTGCAAAACGTGAAGCTGGAAGACCTGAGTTCAAATCCAGCCATAGACACTTGCTAGCTGTGTGACCCTGGGCAAGTCACTTAACTCTGTTTGCCTCAGTTTTCTCATCTATAAAATGAGCTAGAGAAGGAAATGGCAAACCACTCCAGTATCTTTGCCATGAAAATTCCAAATTGGGTCACAGAGAGTCAGATACAACTGAAATGACTGAACAACATTGCCATACACTGTGCCAGGCTCTGGGGATACAGAGAAAGGCAAAAAACAGTCCTTGCTGTCAAGGAGTTCACAGACTAATGGTGGAGAAAACAGGCAAATGATTATGTGGAAACAAGATATCTATATCTATACTTTACATTTCTCTATGCATATATCATAAACTGGGGGTAATCTCAGAGGGAAGGCACTAAGATTAAGGACTGAGAAAGATTAAAGACTTTAACTTGAAGGAAGCCAGGGAAATTTTCTGATAATAAATAGAGAAAGCTCTAAAAAGTCAATTGCATAACCCACGCACAGATCGGCTCTGATCCTGGCCTGTGAGAAAGGGAGTGCAGAGGTGGCCGAGATGCTCCTGAGCCATGGGGCAGATGTAGGGGCTGTGGACTGCATGGGCCATGATGCCTTATACTATGCCCTGCGCACCCAAGACAAGGAACTATGGAGGCTGCTTCGCCAGGCGCTGAACCGCCGCCAGTGTGGAGGTGAGACAAGCTATGCCCAACCATCCTCCATCAGTCCCCATCCTCAAACTAACTCTTCTCAGAGGCTTCCTAAACCTTAGTGACTTTGAGGGCCTCTCTCCTATCCAGTGTAGGTATTCTTGAAGATTCCTCTTAGAATCATCCCTTCTCCCTCAAGGCCATAGCAATATTATATTCAAATGATTTATTACTTCAATTTTTATTTTACTTATTTCTTTTCCGATGATGAAAAGTGAACACCCCAAACAAAGTCCAAAGGGCAAGGCAAATTATTTATTGCAGCCTTGACTCTCACTGTGGGCAGCTCTGACTAAGACCATCTCTGGCCAAAGTGTTCAACCAATAAAGGTTTAACTCCAATGCAGCCTTGGTCTTGGTTCCTGGGACACACTCTTATCTGTGAGAAATGGCAGTTGATGTGATCATAGTTCCACGGCTGGATCCTTAACCGAGCTATAAGCAAGATGCAATGTGAGATCTGAAGGTGGGAAGATGTGGTGGAAAAGTAGTGGACTTGGAATTAGAAGGACATAGGTTCAGGATAAAGAGCTTACATTCTAATGGAGGAAGATAACCTACCTAAGGGGTAGGTAGAGGCACTTTGGTCCTAAAAGTTTTTGGGATGGCGAGTGGGGTCAAAAAGGCGTAGATCTGGGTTCAGCTTCTAAATCTGTTCCTTTCCACCTATGTTAACTGGGGTAAGTTTCACTTAATGTTTTTAAGCTTCTTCAGTAAAATGGGGATAATAACATTTGTCCTACAGAACTCCACAGAATGAAATAAGATAATGCGCCTGAAATTCTTTGTCAATGTCTGTCAACCAAAGATGCAACATAAATGACTGTTATTGTTTTCTGACAGGCCAAGGGCTGGCTCAACATCCTGATCTATCATCTCAGGTAAAAAGTCAAGCCCTTACCTCTCTCCTCTGCCCTTCTGAACATCTCTCCAACCCCGCACTTCAGCCATCTTTACTCTAGTGCCTCTGTGGGAATGTGTCCAAGGACCCGGCTTGGGAAAGAAGGGCTTCTCTTAGGGTGATGTTCTTTACAGAGCTGCCCCTCATTTTGTTTTTAATCTAGGGCTCCCCACCTAAGAGCCCAAGAACAGCAGAGCCAGAGGAGGAGGATGACGAAGAGGAAGGGGGTGAGGACACATGTAGCCCTCAGGAGTGGAAGAGGAAGTATGAAGCAGAGAGAAAGAAAGTCTCCCAGCTGGAGAAGGAGCTGGTACAAAAGGAAGAAGAGTGTAAGGTCCAGGTTACAGCCTGCAAGGGTCTGGAGAGCCGGGTTCGAGAACAGGTTCAAGAACTGGGAGTGCTCTTGGCCAGGGAGTCTAGAGACACGGGTGGGCAAGGTCCCAGTCCACGGCCTGGTGGGGATGGCATGGAGCAGGGCTGTGTTCTGGACCTGTTGGCTGAGCAGGTACAAGAACTGAAGAGACAGAAACAGGCTATGACATCACAAGTGTCCAAAGCCCAAGGGCCCCAGTATGAAAGCCAGGGGACAGCCCAGCCAGAGGAGCAGAGGCCCCCGCTGCAGAGCCCGGTGGAGAAGGCCCCAGGGAAGGCCAAGGGAGAGCAGCTAGCAAATGTGGAAGGGGTCGTGCCAGGGTGGGGAAGAGGAGACCAAGCGCTTCCCCTCAAAGAGGAGAGAGGGAGGGCTCCGGGTGCTGAGCCAGCAGGCATGGTTGCCTTGGGCCAGCTCCTGTTGCAGCTGAGGGAAGAGCTGACTGCGGTGTGGAGGGACAAGGATGCTGCCAGAGGGGTCCTGGGCAGACCAGCTGGAAACAAGGTTTGGGGGGCATCCCAGGCCGAGGCTGCAGCAGCCGCCTGGGAGAAGATGGAGGCTCGGTTAGAGCAGGTGCTGGCCAGGCTGGATCGGGCGAAGGCTGGTCTGCACGTGGAGACTGTGCCTCCTGTCCCGGAGTCCCAGGAGGGGGCTCTCCCCAGAGCCAAAACCATTACTGTGGCAACGAGCCCCCCCAGAGAAGGCAAGGCAAAGGAGGAACGGGCCCATGAAGCTCGGGGGGAGCCCCTCGGAGCTCCGGGAGCGGGGCAGGCCCCAGAAGGGACTGGGGCAAAGGGACAGCTGGAGAAGGAGGTGTCGGCCCTGAGGCTGAGCAATAGCAACCTGTTGGAGGAGCTGGGTGAGCTGGGGCGCGAGCGCCAGCGGCTGCAGGGAGAGCTGCATGCCCTGAGCCAGAGGCTACAGAGGGAATATATGCCCAGGCCGGAGGCCCAAGGCCAGCTGCAGCAGCTACGCAGCAGCGTGGGGCTGTTGGCCGAGGAGCTGGCGGCGGAGAAGGAGGCCGCCGAGCAGCTCCGACGGCGCCTGGCTGCCCAGAGCACGGGCCTGCAGGGGCTGCGGGAACGCCTGCCTCCCGACCTGGTGGGCGGAGGGAGCCCCCAGGGCTCAGCCCCTGACCTCCTGGAGGAGCTGCAGGGCTGCGTGGGCACCCTGGTGTCCAGGTACGACGAGGCGCAGCGGGAGCTGGCCAAACTGCGGAGAGAACACCAGGGACTGAAGGGCACCGGCCGGGACGCCGGGGCTCCCCAGGCTGTCCCCCAGGTAGCTGCCCTGGAGCAGGACCTGGGGAAACTAGAAGAGGAGCTGCGGGCGGTGCAGGCCACCATGGGCGGGAAGAGCCAGGAGATTGGAAAGCTGAAGCACCTGTTGTACCAGGCCACGGAGGAGGTGGCGGAGCTTCGCGCCCGGGAAGCGGCCAACCTGAGACAGCAGGAGAAGAGCCGGGCGTCCCTGGTGGCCCAAGCACAGACTTGGGGCCAGGAGCTCAAGGCTTTGCTGGAGAAGTACAACAGTGCGTGCAGGGAGACCGGGCAGCTGCGGGAGGTGGTGGCCGAGGAGCGGCGGCGGAGCCGAGAGCTGGCTGCCCGGGCCACTGAACAGGAGCGCCAGGCCAGTGAGATGAAGGGCCGCTCAGAGCAGTTTGAGAAGGCTGGTGAGTTGCTGAAAGAGAAGATGGACCAGCTGATCGGGGCCTGCAGGGAAAAGGAGGCGAAGGTAAGAAGGCTGAGGTAACAAGGGCTAAGGATGGACCCTAGTCATCTGACTGTTGACCCCCAGGCAGGCCATCAGAGCCACTGACTAACTGTCTTAATAAAGGAATCAGATAAGGCCATGGATGGCTGGGACAAAGTCCAGGTAGGGTGTTAGAGGAAGGGTAGAGAAACTGAAGATTTTGTCCCTCTCGTGGTGGTGGTGGTGGTGGTGGTGGTGGTGGTGGTGGTGGTGGTGGTGGTGGTGGTGGTGGTGGTGTGTGTGTGTGTGTGTGTGTGTGAGAGAGAGAGAGAGAGAGAGAGAGAGAGAGAGAGAGAGAGAGAGAGAAAGAGAGAGAGAGCTCTGTAGGGGTCTGTAGTTCAAGGCTTCTATCCTGGTGGGAGTGGAAAGTGCCCTGGCCCTGTAGACAAGTTAGACCTTAGGCAAGTCTCAGTCTCTCTGGACCTCAGTTTTTTTGGTACTAAACTTCTGAAATCCAGCTCTACCACTCTGCATAGTTAAATGACATTAAGGGTTTTTGTGGGTTGGCTCTGGGAACCTAACCACCATTTATAGTATTGTTTCTAAGGGGAAATGCATTCTGAATTCCAAACTGACTTACAAACTTTGAAATACTTCCCTTAGTAAGTTCATAACTCCTGTATAATGAAAAAAACAAATCTAGGGCAATTTAAAAAGGCTACTGTAATCCTATTTGATCAGTACAGGAAACAACTTAAGAATGTTAGAAAACAACATACAAACCAGTGTAAATTAATATGAGCACAGAGAGCATAAGTGTAAAGGAATGATCAAAATGGGGTGAGGTTTATCCCAGAAGGCTTCTTGCAGGTTTTGAGCTAGGCTTTCAAGGAAGGGAGGGGACATAGATTGATGAACTGGACTGAAGGAGAAAGAACCTTAGAGTCCTCATCCTGTATTTTGGCCCCCACCTAATCAGTGTTGCTTGTCAGGCCCCAGAGTTGGTATTAGGCAGCCATCTGATGTCTTACGTGTGCGTGTGTGTGGGTGAGACATGGACGTAACAGGATTTTGGGGCTGACTTCATTGTCTCCTCCTTCTACCTCTGACCCCAGATCAGGGGGTTGCTGAAGAAACTGGAACAAATGTCAGCTGAAGTCCTTGCTGTTCGTGGGGAAAATACCCGCCTTGTGCTACAATTGCAGGTGGGTCTTGGGCCTGGAGAAATTGGCTGGGAAGGTAGGAAGATTGAGGTGAGGGAGGTGGAGTCAGGTATTTGGCAGAGCCAGTGATGGGCCTTACTTATCCCAGGGACTTAGTGTCTGCTGGACCATGATCTCATATAGCTTTTTGTTTGCATGTCTCTTACGTATTTTGCATTATTTTGCATGATGGTTATTAGTGGGTGGTTGTGTTGAATTCCTTCCCCTACTCAATACTATAAACGTCAGGCACCGTTTCTTAGCAGAACTCCCAGTGCTTGATACAGTTCTTTGCAAGTAGTGAGTGTATGCTTAATAAGTACATGTTTGAGTTGAATTGATTTGGAATAGATTCCCACTTTCCTGCTCTCTGCTTCTGAGGTCTGTGAGGGTTGGGATATAAGGTTGAGTCCACTGATGTTCATTCCCAGGATTCCCAGAAGAACCACCAGGAAATAATTTCCACCTACAGGAACCATCTGCTTAATGCTGCTCGGGTAAGCATATGGACAGGTCAGGATTCTGTATTGGGGAACCCCACTCTCATCTGTCTCTGGATAGGGAGGTCCGTGGTTGTTTGTGTTTAAGAGGAACAACCCTTTCTTTCAGGTTCTGAAACAAATGTTTTGGTTCCTTACCCTTCCTTCACCCCTGTCTGCTTCAGTGCTAACTGGAACCAATTTACCCCTACGAGGGCATATTGGGCCTGACTTCTGGGAAGGGGATGGATAAGTAGACTGCCCCTTTTCATATTTAATCTGCCTCTTGCCCTTCAGCTCCTTTCATTTCTCCCATCTTCCTTGTGTGCACAGGGCTATATGGAACAGGACGTATACAAGATTCTTCTCCGGATCCTCAGGATGCAGGAATGAGTTCCCATGGATGGTGCTGAATACGAGACTTCTCTGCTGTGAGTTTTAGTGATAATGATGAAGGTGTAGGGAGGAGAGGGACTGGAGGTGGGGGAAGAGAGTTTGGAAGGTGGCATTAAAGAGGAGCTTCCCCTCTCTCCTCCTCTTATTCCCTGTGGGTGACTGAGATCGAAGAGACCTTTGGAAGCAGATCTAAGGCTGAATCAGTGGAGGTAATAGCAAAGGTTAGCCAACTGTGGAGAAAGAGTTCAAGATGTCATCTGGGGTAGTAGTGGCGAAGGGGTTAGCACAAGCTCATAGTCAATAAAAGGAGGGTGGTGGTGACTGAAGGCGGTGTTGCTATCTGCCATGATGGAATCCAAGAACGCCAGACATCCACATTCCCCCACCCCACCCCACCCCCTTTTCATCCCAAATTCATTTCCTTCCTCCTGCTTCTAAGCAAGGTGGACTCTCTTTTCCAGTTCTCATGTGTTGTTGTTCAGTCATGTCGAACTCTTCATGTCCCCGTTTAAGGTTTTCTTGGCAAATACACTCCTGTGATTTGCCATTTCCTTCTCCAGTCCATTTTACAGATGAGGAAACTGAGGCAAACAGGGTGGAGTGACTGCCTAGGGTCACACAGGTATTAAGTGTCTGAGGCCAGATCTGAACTCTGGAAGATGAGCCTTCCTGAATTCAGGCCCAGCGCTCTATCCACTGTGCCACCTCGCTGTCCCAGTTCACACATACGGGATCTCCTTTGAGCATTTGATGTGGGGCTGTGTAGGGATTGAGAAGGCTAGAATGTATGTGTTTTCTTCTTAATGTCCTCTTCTCCTTTTCTCCCCCCGCCCCAGAGGGCAAGGGCAGCATCAGAGGCCAGAACCATGGCCATGGTGTGGTGGTGGTGGGGCTGGCCGATAGCAGTGGTGTGGGCTGGACTTTCCTGACATGAAGAACCCCAGATCTGAGAAGCTAGACCTTGGATACAGGACTGATGGAGCCAGAAAAAAAAGCATGGAAGAAGCCAGCTCTGTGGGAAATAAAGCAGAAGGCAGTATGGTGTTGGATATCATTGCTTCTTCGGTCTGGGGCCAGGGTGGACATGCATTTCCTAGCTCCCTTTGCCTTAGCCACAAACAGCCTCTCCCCCAAAGGGAGGTCATTGATATGATCCTTCCTCTTGCCAATGCTTTCATATGCAGATAACTGCAATCTCTCCTCCTCCTTAAGGTCTCTGAGTGAGTCTATATTTGCTTTTTTGTCTAATGTGGAAAGAGACATTAGGGGTAGAGAGCTGTTTTATGTTCCATCCAGGATGAAGCATGGACCTGTTGGGGACAGCTCCCTTCCCCCCCCCCCCCCCCGCCCTGGGCCCAGTTCTTTTTTCAGCTAGAACAATGGAGCAAAGCTTTCTTTATTCTTCAAAGATTTCTACTACTCCCTTTACTGCACCAAACCCCAAAGCTACCACACTGCTGGATAAGAGTGGGAGCACTCTCATCCCTGTAGCCCTGGAGGGTGGTACCTCCAAACCCATTGTTTCTCTACAGAGGCAGCATGATTTAGGGGCTCTAGAGCTGGCCTTGAATCCAGTAAGATGTGGGTTCAAGTTTTGCCTCTTGACATACCAGTTATATGGACTTCAGGCAAGTCACTTAAATTCTAAGTACCCTTGACTATTCTCTTAAGACTAAGTTGTGATAAAAAGTGCTAACCGCACTGGTTAGTTTCCTTACCTGAGAGGAAGTTTCCTTACTTGAGATTTTCTTATACCAATAAAATCACAGGCCCAGGTCTATCATCTGATGGGCTAAGCAGGGCTTTGGTTTGACAGTGAAGGAATCTTTGCAACCTGTCTCCCCCAAATCCCCTTCCCACAATCCCCTAAGCCTTTAGGGCACATGAATCCCAGCCAGAGGTGGGGTGTGATGATGGTGGAATAGGGACAGTGGCTGGTGTGTGGATAGGGAGTGGATATTGGAGTGTTGCTGAACAGGAATCATTTGCCTGTAGTTCAGCTCATAAGCCTCAGGTTTGAACGTTTCCATATGGGAGATGACTCTGTGTGTGTGTGTGTGTGTGTAAGAGAGTAGGAGAGAAGAATGGGGAGATGGTACTTGAAGGAGACTGGGGGTGGGGGTGGGGGTATTCATTCAGCTGCTTTCTCCAGGACTTGGGTGGGGGAGGAGCAGCTCAGAATCTGGATCAGCCCCCCAGGGATTGTTCCTGTGGTCCACAGATATGTCAGCTCCAGTGTATGGGTGTGGGGGAGTAGAGATTGCTTTAAGCCATGGGGGTGGGGTGAGGAGGGATAGAATGGAGGAGTGGGGAAGATACACAAAACATCTGCAAGAAGAGTGTCCTAGGGGCAGCTAGGTGGTGCAGTGGGTAAAGCATCGGCCCTGAAGTCAGGAGGACCTGAGTTCAAATCCAGCTTCAGACTAAACACTTGACACTAGCTGTGTGACCCTGGGCAAGTCACTTAACTCCAATTGCCCCCCTCCCAAAAAGAGTGTCCTAAAGGTCCTGCTCACTTGTGGTCATCTAAAAGAATTCCTCCTCCTTTCTCTTGCTGCGAACAGATAGAAGAGCTTGTTTTACTCATCATTATGTGTCATGGGGTCAGCTGGAAAGGAGGAAGAAATTGAGGCAGAGGGATGAAAAGATTTTTTTTGGGGGGGGGGTGGGCCTGACCAAGGTTTACAGAATAAGTCAGGAAGGGCCCTAGTAATAGAAGCCAGGCTTCCTGGCTCTCTCCGGGGTTTCTGGAAGCTTGCTCTAGGACACAGGGGTTTGGAGGAAGAAGGAGTGATAAAGCAGTAAAATAAAGAAAGCTGGTGCTAGTCTCAAACCCTAAAACAACCTCTACCTAACACACCATTTTATTTTAAAACAAACACCTAAGATCTTCAGATTCTGGAATTTGTTTTGTAAATAAACTTTTTTCCTAAATGGAGGGCACATTAACCCCAGTCCTCACCCGTCTGCTTGGCTGATTGTTAACAAAGTGTTGTGCCTGTACTGGGCGTGAATGTGAGGCCTTGGATTCAAAGCAATAGACTGGAGGAAGATGACCTTGCCTGGCAGTCCCAGAAAAGAAGCAGCAGGACATGGCTTTGTACAGGAGGGGTGCTTGAGGACAGCTGGTTGGATTGGGTTGAATCGAAAGAAAGAAACCTGAAAATCCAGAAAGGGAGGAGATTGGGAAATTCAACAAACATTGACATAATATGTTTGGTGCCACACAAAGTTTATTAATAACAACAGCACTCACGTAGTGCTTTAAGGTTTATAAAGCACTTTACAAATATTATCTCATTTTATCCTCACAATAACCCTGAGAGGCAGGTGCCTTTATTATTACTCCCATGTTACAGATGAGGACATTGAAACAGACAGAGGTGAAGAGACTTACTTGCCCACTTAGGTCACTCAGTAAATGTGTGAGGCTGAATTTGAAATCAGGTCTTCCTGACTCCAGGATCATCACTTTATCCACTGTGTCACCTACCTTTCAGAGGTTCCCAAAGTTATTTGGCCTACTCCTCTTAAAAAAATTACTCAGTGCTCCCCCAAATCTATTTTCCTTAACGTTTTTTAATTTGTGTCATATAAAATAATAAAATATAAATAAATAAAATAAATATAAATTTTTTTAAAAGACACACCTTAAATTTAATAACTGATTGTAAATTTGTTTTTTTCCTGCATTGAAATTTTGATGATGCAATATTTCATCATGTAACCGTATAGTATCATATTGTAAACAAGCCATTACACAAACATATTCCTGCCTATTCCTGCTGATGCACGCTGGACTTCCCAACAATGCACAAGACATGCTCACCTGCCAACACTCACTTGTTAAGACCCGTCAGCAGACTTGCCCACTGATAGGTTATAACTTGCATTTTCTGTTTTTATTTGAAAAATAATGTAATCACTAGGACTTTAACTCTGATACACAACAGATGAAATATGTGCCAATGGTTTTTCAAAATTTTCTTCTCTTCTTTCCTTATGCTTCCACCACCCCCTTATTTTTATTCAATGCCCCCCAATTGCACCAGAGGCTACTACTACCCCCCTGGATTGTTCCTGTGTCCCCAGGGGTTGGTATAGTCCATTTTGGGAACCTCTGCTTTATATAAAACATATGTCCCTGACCCTATGGTGCTAGAATTTCTTCTGTCTATTCTACCACTCCACCCAGGTGGGGTCAGGGTAGATCATGATTCAGTGGAAGGGCTTTCAGGGGACAAATAGGCCAATTTCTTCATCTTACAGATGAGGAAAATGAGGCCCAGAGAGAGAAATTGACTTGCTGAAGATCACAGAGGTGGTAACAGAGACAGAATAGAATAGACCCAAGTCCTCTCATTGCAAATCCAGCCTGATTTTGCACTGAACCTCCATCGCCCAGACCTCAACTCTAGGATACTCCTTTGCATTCCATTTGGTGGCTAGGAAATTATCCCTCTTTGGGATAAACTATATGGTGGAGATGGCCTAGGGTGAATTCTGTGGTCCCTATCAGTTCTGAAATTCTATGACACTAGTTGCTTACTCCCACACCCCCAATAACGTGAATGCATTGCCCTCAAAGATGGCGTTTAGAGTGAGGTGGTTGACAGTGCCAGCCACCTGATTTTTGGGCCTGCAGATAACTTATTTGCCAGGTCAGAGAACAGGCCTTGGTAAGGAAAGAGCTATTGATATCTGTCAGCCAAGGATGAGTATCCTTGGAAGCAAAGCAGGACAGGGGAGGTCCTAACTACCTAGGTTTTCCCTACACTAACCCACCCCATCTTCATCCTCCATGAGGGTGTTAGTGCCTCAGAAAGGGCTGTGTTTGGGGGAGGGGCAGTGGGGTATACTTATAATTATAGCTTTCTGGGCTTCTTCCCAGGAAGGGGTATTCCAGCCCAGCAAGATGAGCGTGGGGCTTTGGCCCCATGGGGCACAGGCCCGGGATACAAATCCTGCCTCCGACACTTTCTACATCTGTTGGTTTGGGCAAGTCACAGGCTCTCTGGGTCTCAGTTTCCTTATCTGTAAAATGAAGTGGTAGGATTACTAGAATCTTCCTGCTCTAGAACTAAGCTTCTACGGAGCTGATCAGTTCACCCATACATTATAACCAGGGTGGAGGGGGGGGTGGGAAATGGGCTTTTTGCAGCTTTTTTGGGTGACCTGTGCTGTCCTTGATGGGCACACTCTCCCCCACCCCAGTTTTCAAGTTTCCATCCCTGCTCCTTCCATGAACCTCGAAGGGATGGGAGTTTCAGGGCAGGTGGGGGTAGGGAACAGGATCGTGGACCGTCTACACCGCAGACTCACTCATAGACTTTACTCTCGGTCTGTCAATGGAAGGGGTTAATCCCCCCCTCCGGCCCCGGGGTCCGCCTTTAGCCCCGCCCCCTCTCCCAGGCCCGGGCGGGTTTGCCCCGGAGGGGGGCAGCAAGGAGGCGGCCCCAGCCGGAGTCCGGGACTGGACTGAGCTCCTCGGCACCGTGTCCGAACTGCCGGACCCAATCGGAACGGAGCAGAGCCGGGAGCGCCGCTGATTGCACGCTCCGGCCATCCCCCCCCTTCCGTTCCAGCGCCCGGAGCCCCGGGCCCCCTCCCTTCCCTAGACCCGGAGCTGGTGAGTCCCGCCCCCAGCACCAAACTTTTCTGCTCCCAGGCTTCGGGTCCTCGGCCTGACCCTGAACCAGAACCAGGAGGTGGGGGCGGACTGGGGGCGGGGGGCCGAACTCACGGCTCGCGCGTCCAGGAGTCCGGAGCCCCCCAGACAGAGCCGGAGTCTGCAGCCCCCTCTCCCTGGGATCTCCTGCAGGGCTGCATGCATAGCCCCTGCTAGCCAGACCCCCCAGCTCCGAGGATCCGTGACTCCAGCCGCTTCTGAGCCCCGGCCCCGGCGCTGCATGCCCGTGGAACCCGTCACCTCGGGGTCCTGGTCGGTCCCGGGTCCGAGCTCCCGGGCCAGCCTCCCTCCGCCAGCCCGCCCCCGCGGGGACGCCGGGAGGCCGGGACGCCGGGCGCCCGGGCCCAGCCGCGTCGCTGCCGAGTCTCCACCGACGAGGCTCCGAGACCTCCGCAGGCCCCGCGCCCGCCGTCTCCCCCATCCCCCTCCGCGCCAGATGTGCCGCGGCCGCCGCTTCCAGCTGTGGGGGAGGGGGAGGAGGCCGAGGCCGTGGCCTGGCCGGAGCCGAACGGGCGGGGCTGGGGCTGGGAGGGGGAGAGGCCGGGAGAGGAGGCCGGACGGGGCGGGGCGGGGCGGGCGATGTTTGCGGCCGGCCCCGGGGTGGGGAGTTGCGCGCCGGTCCCTGGGCCTGGGCTCCGGCGCCTGCGATGTCTCAAGATGGCGGAGCTGGGCGAGTTAAAGGTACCGGACCCCCCGGATCCCCCGGAGCCCAAGCCCGGCCGGCCTGGGCGGCTGGGCTGCGGGGGAGGAGCGGCGGGACGGCGGTGCGGGCGGCCCGGGGGCCGAGCCCGAGGGCTGCAGGGGGCGATGAAGGCGCGAGGACAGCTGGAGAGGATGGACTCTGGGGGCAGGGACGCGGCGGACGACGCGGGGGTCCCGGGCTCGGGGCGGTGGGGATGGCGATGCTCAGAGAGCCGGCGCTGTGGCCAGCGCAGGGGCGGGGGCCTTCGGGGCAGGGATGGAGGGGCAGGGCCCGCGGGGGGCAGGGCCACGGGGGCGGGGCTGGGGGGGGAGCGGAGCGGGGGCTGGGACCTCCGGGAGCGGGGGCACCCGGGAGCCAGCGCGGTCTGGTCAGGGAGAGCACCGTCGCCGTCATTGACATCTACGCAACGCTCGGAGGTTTGCACATACGTTATCTCCTTCGAGACTCCTCCGGCCCGGAGGTCGATGCCATGTAAACCTAGGTGTGGAGAAGAATATCCCCACTTGGGGGGGGGGG